AGAAATAGATTTTTTTTTGCCCTGTGACTGTTTCAATGAAGATAAGGCCCACAACTTGTAATAAAGACCCCTTAACATTACACCGATAGTACAAATTTAGTCAAAACTGTTATAGCAGGTTTTGAAAAATTTGTGTAAAATTGAATATATACAAAGTACATCCCAATTGTATACCTGCAATAAATCTCAATACCAGAGTCGTACTTTTTAAGTTCATACACATTTACATTTAAAACCTGTTTTTCTACTTAAAAATCGAATTAAAAATTTTTCACCATATTTCTTCTAATTATATATTTCATATATAGGTGACTGATATTGTAAATTGATAAATTAAAATTTCTGTGTTTTATAGTTAGATAAAAATTTTGAGGTTTTCTGAGGTATGTCCATCACTGGTACCAACTTCCTGGCCATCACTAGAACAATAAAATTTTGTTGTGTCCGTTACTTGTGCGAAAAATTGTTATTTTAAACTGGAGATTACACCAGAAAAACTGAATATTTTTTTCAATTTTAAGGTATGTAATGTGAAAAGGAGATCCTAAAGTTTCTAATTTTCCAATGGAGAAGTTCATAACTAAAATAAGTAAAGCAGGAGAAGGCAAAAAAGGCAATAATTTCCTTAGCCATGTATGTCCATACATAGTTACGCTTGTTAGTTTTTGGGCGCCAAATGTTGTGTTTTTTAATATAAATATCTCTCTCTCACTCAATCAATTCCTCTTCTACCGCTAGATCAGTGTAGAGGATCCTGTTTATAGAGCTTGATCCATTTATCTCGTTCCCGCACTAGCTGACTGCGTCTATTCCAATTCATTCCTCTCCTATCGAAATCCTCCCTGACTGAACCTTCCCAGGTCTTTCTGGGCCTTCCTCTTGGCATTCTTCCTTCCACTTTTACTTCATATATAGTTTTGGCCATTCTTCCCTCCTGCATTCTTTTGACCTGGCCAAACCAGCGTAGCCTGTTTTCCTCAATTGTGTTTTCTGCTGGTTTTATTCCCAAATTGGCTCTTATCGTTGTATTCCTAATTTTGTCCCTCCTAGTTTTTCCCTCTATTCTCCTCAGAATTCGCATTTCCAATGCTTGGATATTGCTTTTATGTTTTGAGGTTAGAGTCCAGAATTCACTGCCGTAAGTCAGTATGGGGACAAATGTATTTCTATACTCCGTCTTCTTGACATTTTTTGACACTTCTCTCTTTGCTAAGAAGCCTGTTTTTAGTGAATGGAAGCATTTGCTGGCCAGTTTTATTCTTTCTCTGATTTCACCATCTATCCAACCGTTCTCATTTAGATGGGCTCCCAGATACTTAAAATCTTTGACATGCTCCAGTTCCTCCCCCTTCAATCGAAGTACTCGATCTCCCCTCTCTTCTCCTCTTCCTATCCACATAATTTTTATCTTGTGGATGTTGATTTCCAGGTTGAACAGTTCTAATTCTACCTGCAGGATTCGGAGGTTGTATTGGAGGTTTCTTCCGTTGTTCCTGATTACCACGATATCATCGGCATATGCCAGAAGGGTGAGATGAACTGGTCGTAGCTCTCTGTGGCCCAACCTAAAAGGTCTCATTCTTTCCTTAGCTCTCTTCAGTGCCATGTTGAGCACTATTATAAACAATAAAGGGCTTAGACTACAGCCCTGCCTTATTCCTTGGGTGCTCTGAAACTCCCTAGAGGTGTGGTTATTGGTTCTGACCATGCTTATTTTCTTTTTATATGGGCTAAGAATGGCACTCGCTAGGCCTGGATCGACTTCATGCCCATTCAGTGCTCTGTCTATGTCCGTTTTCCTGACCTTATCGAATGCTTGGGTTAGGTCCACGAAGCAGGTATATACCTCTTTATTCTTTTCCACGAGCTTTTCTGAGAGCTGCCTCATTACAAATATTAAGTCTTGGGTACTTCTTTGTGGTCTGAAGCCGTATTGTTCTTCTTCTAGGTCTGTCTCAATGAATCCTCTTAGTCTCTTCTCCAGAATCTTAGAGTTTATCTTGCATGGTACACTAAGTAGTGAAATGCCTCTGTGGTTTCAGCATTCCCGGTAGTCTCCTTTTTTATGAATTGGTACTATGACTGAAATTTCCCAGTCCTTGGGTACTTTTTTACTTTTCCATACCAAATTCAGTATATGCTGAAACATTTCCTACCCTTTGGCTCCCATATACTTCAGCATTTCGGGGGTTATATCATCTATTCCTGGCAATTTGCCCATTTTCAGGCTGTCAATTGTATCTGCTATTTCCTCTTCTCCTATGAAATCTTCCTCGTCCTCGTTCTCAGTGACATCTTCATTGATATTTTGTTCCGGCATTGACAAACTACCTGTATCATCATTCAGCACCCTCTCAAAGTATTCCGCCCATCTATTCATTATTTTATTGGTATTTGTTAAAATAATACCTTCCTCATCTTTTATGTGTTTTATAATGGGCTTCTTTTCCTTCCTCATATTTCTTAGGCATCTGTAGAAGAGTTTCTGATTTCCTTTTGCATCTTCCTCTAACTTATTTCTGAAATCTTCCCAAGCTTTTCTCTTCGACTGCAGGACTTTAATATAAATATAAAGAATAAAAATAAAATTTTGACTAACATTAAATTAATTTTAGATCATTAATAAAAATATATTCAATTAAAAAAAAAATTGAGCTTACAGGTTTGGTTACCATAAATGGTTTGATGTCCAATAAATAACATAATTAAACATAAGCTTACATATATTTATGATAAAATAATATACATAATTTTATTTGGAGATTTAATTAATAATTGTAAAAAATATAATACTGTTCATATAATTTATAGCTAAAAGTCCACAAAGTTCTTTTCTGGTGTAAGGCTTGAAAATAAATGAGTTGTGCTGCATAAATCTTGAAACTGAATATCTTCAAAAAGTAACTGGAAATGGATTGTTCTGGCCGAAGGCCAACTACCAACTAACTGTTTCAGCCAGTTGTTGATTGTAATACTAACACCTTGGAATAAGGGATATGTAGTGGGGACAGCCCATGCTACAATGTTTGTTGGTTTCCAACAAACGGCCGAAACAGTTAGTTTTATATATATATATATATATATATATATATATATATATATATATATATATATATATATATATATATATATATATATAAATCATACACTGACAGTATTATGAACTGTGTGCAAAGGATCCTTACTGAGATTGGTCTGATTTTAAATCTGAAGAAAAATTTGAGTCTAATAATGAATAAAGGAGATCTGCAACTAACAAAGCTTTCCTCAGAGAGCGGCAAAGTCATCGAAACATCAAATGCTGATGATATTGCAAAATATTTAGAATATATGTTCTTGGGAGAGCTAGTACTGAATGTTGAAATGGTGACCAAATCGAACAATAATTTGGACAAATTAGTGAGCTCTTGCCTTCTTAAACTGGAGCAAAAGATCAACATTGTCAACCAATGAGTTCCAGGAACTTACCTACTCTCTTCAAACTGTGTGCCTTACAAAGATATGTTCTGTGATATTGGAAGGGACTGATATAAATGTCTGCAGGAGTATCAAGGCCATTATCGGACTCCCCTCAACTGGGACTGATCCCCTGTCAATGGAAAGCTTCTTTGCAGCATTAATCTATTGCCCCTTGACTGTCTAATGTACCGGAAGCCCTATTCCATTCAAAATTTGATTATAATGCAAAAATTACCAAATGTGTGGAAAGACTGGGTGTTGATTAGGGCCACCAAACAAGTACTTTTGGGATAAGAATAGTCCAACGCTTTAAAATTCAACATCAACTACGCAGCTTTGCGTGGAGTCCCAGGAGCCGATGGACAGTCAAAGGAAATTGGGTCCCTCTGCCATATATGCTGCAGAGAATCTGAAACACCAGCCCATGTGCGGGGAAAATGTCCCAACAACTCTTTCCTCATAGCATGCCGACATCATAGGGTCGAATTCGAGTTGATGGAGCTCCTTAGAGAAAGGGAATTCACCTCTTTTGACGAGGTATTGCATCGACAGTGATGGCTTAATGAGATATATGGATATTGTTCATTCTCTAGGACCAGAAAGGCAGTACTGGTCTCGGATCCAACTGTTTGCTATTAGAGCATTGACCTTGATCAGGAGGGTGAAATTTAAAAAGGAAAGAAGATTATATATGATAAATGTATCACTTTCCTAAAAGAGAAATTTTGTGAGACATTCAGAGAGAGAGAGTTTAACATTAGAGGCCCCTGGCTTGATTCCAAAGAGAACTAGGAGTTCTTGAGGAACTAGGTTTTGAGCATGCAATATTGGCCAAAAAAATTATTCTGGACTTTCTGGGGATCATCCATTATCACCTATATAGTAATTAACAGTTAATTGTGTATATTTATTATCATTTATTTATTTATTCAATTTTAATATTTAATCTAGTCATTATTTTTATTTATGTGCATAAATTATGTTGGTTGATATGCGTGTAAAATTTCATATTTTAGCATTTAAATTTTTTTATATATATTTCAGAGTATTATATCAGTCTAACTCAAACATAAATTGTGTAATAATGATAGTTTAGTGTAGGAAAGTATTTATATTATTTATAGTTAGTGATATGAAAGGGAGGGAAAAAATATACATGTAAGGAATAAAATATAGTATAATAAGTACTTCATCCAATCAGGATTGATCAGTATGTTGTGTATCAAGTAACCCTATGTAGTAGTGCAACTCTACTTTCAATAAAGTATTTCTCTCTTCTACACACACAGGTCTTTCAGTAAGTTTTGATTTATATTTACTTCTCTTATCACCTCCTTGAATAACCATTTTTCATGAAATAATACTCCCACATCGAGTGCTGAACCCATGTCAGAAACATAAGTCAACATGTTTAATATTAAATTTAAATATTACTCACTAAATTGAAATAGATTCTTTATCTCAATATTAGACCTTTAGTTCAGCTCATGGTTTCCTTCCACAAAACTAATGAGGCTTCATATTCTTTTTTTTTTTTCAAGATGGCGAAAAAAAATAAATTATTTTTCATGGAAGGTGTTTGGTCACGTTTCTTTCCAGTATATGATAAATTATCACAACTGCTGGCCTCCAATGTTGTAGGCAATGTGATCTATTTGACAGCTGACTTTGGAATATCTATTAGTGCTATCGATAGAATTAAGTATGTTCTCTATTGTATTGGCTGTAATTAGAAGTATATGATTCTGATTTATAAATTTATATGTCATATAATTGTTTTAGAAGCAAGGAATTAGGTGGAGGAACTATATTTGATCTGGGAGTTTATGTGCTACAGTTAGCTATTCTTGTGTTTGGAAGAAATCCCCAATCTATATCTGCTGTCGGTCATTTAAATGAAAATGGTGTCGATGAAAGTATCAACTATGTATTGAAGTATGATGACGGGAAAACTGCGAGTTTTTGTACTCACAGCAGAATTAGGATGGACAACTCAGCTACTATTTATGGAACGAAAGGACAAATAAAGGTTTCTTATTTTAATATTTGTTCCTCATTTTAATTCTATTGAGAATATCTTCTTTTAAGGAACACTCCTTTAGGTCTAATCTCGTACCAAAGATTTTTTAATGTATCATTCATTTGATTTGATTTTGATTGCCATCCCTCATTTGCTTGGATAAAAGTGTTTGTTAGGGTATACGATGCCACAATTAAACTAGTGCTGAGACTTGACAAGCACCCTATTTAAAAAAATAAGAGAAAATAAGGACTGGGATCAGAACTTAAAATTTTGGAGGAAGAAAAGAATTAAGATCCCAGTAAAATTACTTGCAGGAGATTGAAACAGATCAACTCTGCTTGTGTAGGAGAATACTCAAAATCAAGACCTGTAGCCAGTCCCAACACTGGATTATGATGGAAGAATTGAGTAGGTTGATTTTAACATGAAACGGTAGTTGAGAGGGTCAAAGACAGCTTTAGGCGGCTGTTGGTCTGATCAATAAATAAATTCTTCATGTAAGTAAAAATGAAGTGTATCCTTATATGCTTTATTTGATTTATTCATATTTTCTCACATATTTCAACCATATCTCGAAATAGTGATTACTATTTCTCTATTCCAGATTCATCTAATATTTATTGGTGCAACTTAACCTAGTTTAATGACTCAAAATTCCTCCTTTATAAAATACCTAGATCATGAAAGATTCAAAATTAAAATTGCCAGCTGAGCTGATATCTGACATCTAATCAAGTATCATAAAACAGGATCAAATGCTGTTTTATCAATACAAAACAGTAATGTTGAGAGAATAATAACCACTGGAGAATAAAATTTAATAATGGAATTATATTGTTTGCTTTGCCTGATGTGAACATGTTAAGATTGAAAATGCAAAGATGGGCTGTTTAAGTATAGATTGAGTAACTTAGAGATTCCAAGAATGAATTTTATTCAAGAGCATTCTGTATTAAACAAACCAGGGCAAAGAAGACCCAACTAATCATGGACCCAACAGTTTAACCTAAACATTAAAGCACTTCTTTAATAGCTATTTTTTTTTTAATTGTGGAGAAAACATAGCATTATCAAGCTGCTGGAGATTTGATCGAGAATGCCGAGAATTCTTGAAACCTGAAGACTACAAACTATAAAAAAAAAAGCATTGTTGTATGATTAATGTTAATTAACTACATTTTAAATGATAATGTAGAGCTTTTGATTATGAAATTTTATTTCCTTTAGCTTATTTAATATAAATGAAAACATCTCATAAAACTATAAACTTTTAAATTTATCTAACCTTTAAATAAATGGTTTTCATTTTTAGATTAAAGATCCATTTTGGGCTCCCACTGTAATTTATATTAATCATGAAAAAAGCACATTTCCTCTTCCTCCAGTAGAAGGAGAACATTTTTTTACCAACAGTCAAGGCCTTGTGTATGAAGCCATCGAAGTTCGAAATTGTATAAAGAAAGGTTAAATAAATATATATATAATATTCTTAAGTCAAAATATTTTAGTTATATTGTAATAATATTTTTTTTTCTAATTTTAGGTTTGCTTGAATCACCTAAAATGAAGCATGAAGATACTCTTTCAATCGCAAAATGGCAAGAAGATGTATGTAAATTACTTGAATCACAAGATTAGTATTAATTATATATTTATTTTATGCATAATAAAGATATTTTTGTTTCATTGATACCTATATGATTTCCATTGATGTAATTTGTAGTCTTTTCTGTTAGTATTTTTCTTTATAAAAATTGTTTCTTTACAAAATATATGTTGTTTACTGTTAACCACTAAAATGATTCTAGTAGTTCTGAAATTTCTTTTTATTAGAATAAAAATAATACAATCTGCCACAATCAAGGGCATTGGCCATTAAGGCAATATGTGTACATTCATATTATTATATACAAATTGAGGAAAAAGAAAACATCTAAGTAATAAATATATACAATAAAATAATAACAAAAATATAAGATACTTGTAAAAAGAAAAAGAAAAAAAATACATTAAAAGGATGATAAAAAGAAAAAAAAAATTACTTGTCATGGTCATTCCTATATACAATATTTACATTCAGCTTAGGGATCCCTGAACCATGTTTCGCCGCTCTCATGTGAGAGGCAAAGCAGGGCTCAAGGAGATCCCAGCGCTTCTCTCCCAGCTGCATCACTATTTGAAAGTCAGTGAGGCTGATTGAGAACACTAAAGTCACATAAACTCAGGACTTGAGCGGAGAAGCTGGCCAACTCCAATAGCATATTTGCAAAAGCTCTCGGGGGCCATTTCTGTTTCAACCATTGTGGAGAATTATATGGATGGTTGGAGCTGGAGAGGGAGTGTGCTAAGGGATTAGGATAATCTGGATGGAATTAGCTCAAGAACAAATGGGATGTTGAGATCATGATGTACGGGTTTATTTCTGAAGTAGTATGGAGCATTGACTATTGTTCGTAGGACTTTGGATCGAAAGGATTGGATTTAGCTGTTTCCCACAGTTCGAGTCCATAGGTCCAGATCGGTTTTAGTATAGTCTTGTATATTAGTAGTTTGTTTTCAATTGAAAGATGTGAGTTTCTGTTCAGTAGCCTATATAGCTGGCCAAATCGTCGGTTAGGTTCTTGTCTTTTAAGTCTGGTATGAGGATTCCATGTCAGTCTCTTGTTTAGAAGGAAGCCCAAGTACAGGACTATGTCTGAGAAGTGAAAAGGTGTAGAGTTAAAAAATATAGGCGGACAGGATTTGCGTCGGAGTGTGAAGGTAATATGCTTACTCTTGGATTCATTTACTTTAATACGCCAATCATTGTACCACTGTTCAATTGGGGAAAGGTGACTTTGCAGGTTTAGGGATGCCATTTCAGGTTCTGAGTGGGAGGAAAGGGCAGCGCTATTGTCAGCAAATGTTGCCAGGAAAGTATTGGGATTTGTAGGGATGTCAGCAGTGAAGAGGATGTAGAGAATTGGGCCCAAGACGCTGCCTTGAGGAACACCAGCTTTTATTGGATAAGAGTTGGAGAGTTCTGTGCCGCGGCATACCTGGAAGGAAAGATTGGAAAGGTAATATCTAAGTATTGGGATAAATGAATTTTGAGTTTGAAAAGCAAGCCATCGTGCCACACCCGGTCAAAAGCTTGCGCTGCGTCCAGAAAGGCGCCGATGCAATATTGCTTGCTTTTAAGTGCGGAGGATATGTGATCAACAACACGAAGGCCTTGTTGAACTATGGAATGTTCTGAGTGGAAACCGAAGTGATATGACGGGATTTTTTGGAATTAAAGTATGTGTAGGATTCGTTTGAGGAGGATTTTTTCAAAGATTTTTGAAAGAGGATCGGAAAAAGGCTTATTGGTCTATAGGAAAAGGTTTCATTGACAGATTTGCCTGGTTTTGGGAAAAGGATGATGATGGAGTGCTTCCATATCAGAGAAAAGTGGGTTGTTCGAAGGATACAATTGTATACGTAGGTAAGGAATATAATAGCTTTTTTAGGAAGTTTTCGAAGGATCTGGGAAGTGAGGAGATCGTATCCAGGAGATTTTCTGGGTTTCAGTTTAGTTATAAGGAATTTGACCTCACAGAGGTTAACAGCTTTAGGAGGTAAGGAGAGAGGAATCGGCGAAGAAAGGAATTCCTCAGCTTTGGTTGTGTGAGAGGGATTCTGTTCAGGATGGGGGATAAATGTTTTGGAAAGATGCTTTGCAAATTCCTCTGCCTGTTCTCATCTGGCGAAGCCCAAGAGCCATCATCACGTCGGAGGGGGTGGAAAATGGTGTGGTATTTTAGGATTTTCTTGTTTGCATTCCAGAGAGAATTATCAGAAGTAGAGAACGATGAGAGGTGGGAATTGAAGGATTGGGACATGAAGATAGCCAATTTCTTTTTTAAAAGTTTGGAAAGGTGGTTGTACAATTTTCGATCGTCAAGATGCCTGGTTCTTTGCCAGTCGGTCCTGGAACATCGTTTGGCATGAATGAGGTCTGCAAGGTCTTGGAGTAAAGGATCTTTCTTGCGGTATTTAAGTGAAGGAAGAGGTGGGGAAGCAGTCCAAACCACTTTTTGGATCGAGGTAGTGAAGGAATTTACGGCATCTTCTAGGTCTTTGGGAGTTTTTAGGGATAGTCTGAGGTCAATTTTTTGTTTTAATATTTGTTGAAAAGGGTTTCAATTAACTAGGCCTCTTATGAATGTAGGTGGAGATGATTTGGGATTTAGTGATTATTAGTGGAAAGGGTTAGCATAAGCGGATTATGATCAGAGAATAGATCATCGAGCCGTGAAGCAGAATAATTCAGCGGCCCTAGACCTTTGAGGATGAAAAAGTCTAAGAGGTCGGGATTGTCGTTAGGATCGGTTGGCCAGTATGTGGGAGTGTTGGGTGAGAGGATTTTGCTATGATGGGAATTAAGTGCAGACAGTCCTCGGATATTCGTCGTTCTGGCTCCCCATTGCTGGTGTTTAGCATTTAGGTCTGCACCTAGAAGGAAATTGTATCCTAAGGAATTAAGGAAGGATTTTATTTGGGATTCGGGAACGGATTTTTTAGGCTGAGAATACACTGCAACAATTGTTAGAGGAAATAATAGGGTTTGAATTGTAACTGCAGTGGTCTGTAGAAAATCAAGGATAGGTAAGGGGAACAAGTGATGGGAAATGGATCGATGGATAATGCCAGCAGTATCAGCATGGGCTGTTCCATCGGGGTGGTCAGTTCGATAGATTTGGTAGGTATGTTGAATAGTCGTTTATTGTTCAATCGGGTTTCGGTTATTAGGGCTATGTCAATATTTTTGTCATTTAGTGAAATTGTTATTTCGTTAATTTGGTTTCGAACACCATTCGCATTCCAAAGGTATTTGCTTGTTGTCATTTAAGGATTTTTTGGGAATGAGAATAGATTTGACACGACGTTGGTAAGCAGGCTGATGAGGGATCTAAACTCGGAGAAGAATGATGTGAGGAGGATGGTGAGGTCATTGGCATTGCTGGGAGGAGGTATGTAGGAGATTTGTGTTTTGGGTAAGTGGCAGAGGTTGCACATCAAGGGGTTGTGTCAACGGCAATGCCTGAGGTTGTGGAGACTGTTCTATATCTCTTAACATTTGGGAGTGGGACAAATATTCGTTTGCTATTCTGAAGGGGCGTCTGGATAGTCTAGGTTGTCTAGATGTCTCTTCCAGCCCGGGAGTTGTCATCATCCTTGTTTTTAAGGTCTTATAAGTTTCACATCCCTTATAGTTAGCCGAGTGCCCTTTCTGGCATAGTGCACATACAGCTGGCTCTTATCTAGGCTTTCTGCTGTCTTCGGTTTTGTGATTTTTGCCACACTTCACACATCTCAGCAAATGATGGCAATAGTGTTTTGTGTGGCCATATGCCTGACAGTTATGCCATTGGACTATATCACGCTTAGGGTAGGGTTTTTTGATAATTATATTGGTGTAATAAAGCCGGTTAACATTATGGATGGTCTCGACCCCAGGCGTTCGCTCAAGGTCAACGAAGAATAGCGGTAAAGCTGTTTTATTCTTTCCTCCAGTGTGATCTTTTCCTTCTTTATATACATTTATAATTTGACGAACATGGAATCCCATAACCGTTAACTTTTCTTTTATAACATCCGGTGGTGTTGAGGGGTGAAGTCGCCTGATTACCACCCTGAGCGCTCTCTCTCTCGACGTAATGTAATTGATAGGTGTGAAAATCTGCATTTGAGTCAGACAGATATTTCACTATTTTTCTGTAGGTTTCTGGAGTATTGGGCATTAATTTAGTATCATTAATGCGGCTTTGGTTTGTATTTTTCTGTACCAACTACTTCATTTAACTGTTGGCACAGGAGTTGAAATTTTTTTAGATTTCTTAAGAAAATCGGCGAAGGCTTGACTTCTTTGGGGGTGGGTGCTGCTTCGATTTCTTCTGTATTGCTATTCGATAATAGTTGGTAGGGATTTGGGGTAAAGAATGGTGATCCCCCTCCCGTGGTTTGAGCTGAAGTACTCGATTGGTTTGCCATATCTACAGCAGGTGGTGAATGTTCAAGTATGACTGGTGGTGTGCCTCTTTTAGTCTTTTGCTTTACTGGCGAACTTTTTGATCTCTTTTTGGATGCTTTGGCTTTACTCGACATTATCATATGAAACTTTCGCATTTCATATTAAAGAGTTCAGAGAAAAAAAAATTATTTGTGTTAAAAAAAAGTTTGTACAATTACGTATATATTTACGTGAACTTATAAGAACAGAGTGGCACAGCGACCTCTCCAATCGGAGGTAGTATAGCCACTAAACGGATAATGTCCGTTCCTTGACTTTCTCTATCCTCAGTCTGTTTACAATGTTTACTGTGTCGATAATAAAGAAGTGCTCACCTTATTTATTTCACTCTTCAAGATTATTCATCAATGTAAAGGTTGCATTGTTTTTTCAATAAAAAACTACAGTGTTTCACTTATATAAAAGTCACTAAAAATAGAGCAATCTAACGTATGTTTACTAAAGGCTGACGCATGAGTTCTGCAATAAACTTAAATCTAATTGTATCATTATGAAGAGGTGGAAGTACAGTGTTTCTTGATCACTAGTGGATTCTAGTGGTTAGATGAGAAAAAATTGTATCTTGAAAAAGTTTACTCACCACAGGCTCTTTTCATTATTATTATTACTATTATACCCTCCCTCCCTCCCCCCCCCCCCCAAAAAAAAAAACAACCAAAAGGCGAAATTTTATAATTACAGAAATATAACTCACCTATATATAATCTTCAGTTCACTGTTTTCTTCAGATGGAACATAACAGAAAATCGGGTGAGAAGCTGTAGGATAGGAAAAGAAAGGTGGCAGAGGATGTACACTTACAGTTTCCTTAAGAAATATTAACCTGTTGAGTGAGTTATGGAAACGAACTATGCTGACTTGACATTCTGAGCAGCCTCCCTCTCCTCTACCTATATATACCCCCATAAAATCCTAGGCTAGT